ATCGGTAAACTCCCTAACTCAGCAAACCGTTCCTCACTAGTCTCACTGGTATTATCCACGCAAGGGCAATGTAGGGTATTAGAGCCATTACTTTATAAAAATAAACTTCTAATTTACTCGTTTGGACGTAGCTTTTTCATGTCATCCTTGTTGTTGATGCGGATGACAGAACTATTCTGGGTTTTCCTGAAGTACATTCTAGCAATAAGGTCCATATGTACATAAACGTAAGATTAACGTACATAAGCTTTGTGAAAGGTTTAAACCCGGGAGTCATTCCAGAAGTAGGTTGAGTATGATCATCCGGTTGAACGTAGTCGTGAATAGGACTGTTGTTGACAGTTTCGACAACCTGGCTTTCACACACTCGCTGAAGTGTTCTTTATCTTTTTCCGTACGTGTTAAGCTTTCATTGATATAGATATGCTTCTTAGATGGGAGGTCAAGGTTATGTGTGGTACTACAGTCCTCGAGATGTTTTCGACTCTTCTAGAATCTTTCCTTGACATCACGTTGAACACATTTAACAATTATGACAGGTTGGGTTTTTAATTGCCTTTGTCCTTGCTGTCCAAAGAAGTTTTTCAAAAATTTTCTTCAAATCAGACAAATCTGCGGGCCAATCTCATCAAATTGGGCGTTTTAATTGCATTAATAGGCAGCCCGGTGTCCAGCCCGGTAAGTATCAGGAACAGGGAAATGAAACTGAAGATCCTTCTAAGTGGGAGTTTGGTTAAAAGCATTGTTTTTCCACGATTTTTTATAAATATTCTAGCCGAGATTTCATTCACACAAAAAATATGGACTTAAGATCCCAGGACGGCGACGTCAACGGGAACGCCACAAAATCAATAGGTTTAATTAGCAAAACAACAATTTTGCACGTGCATCACGCTTTTTTGTACATTTCTTTGCCGTCACTGCACGACTACGACGTGAAAATGCCTGATTTCACGATGTACAGAGTAAGTACACAAGCGACAACGAAATTTCCTCTCTCTTTCTGAACTTGGATATGTTTCTTAGGAATTCAACTTTAAGAGGGTTCGCCTACATTTGACAAAGTTAGTGACTTGGAGTAATCGCGATGAAGATTGAATGAACGGGAATTCACTTTTTAAGCGACGTTTTCTCTGCCGTCGCCGGCCTCGGATCTTAAGGTCCCTAATGACTCAATTAGGTTGGAGTCCTTGGTGCAATAATTTGTTGAAAATTTTTGGATTATAATTTTTCGAATGTTTTTCATGTACAAAAATTAAGGGGGGTATTAAAAATTTTGGAAAATGATAACATATTGGATTTGGGGGTGGTTAAAAATAAAGATATTAACTGAATCAAATTAGTAGACAAATACCAGATAGTCCATCACCACAATAAGGTGCCTCTGATCCCATTAGTGGACTAACTCTAACTGGTTTATGTGTGTTCTTATTCTAAGCTAATCTACTTCCTTCCGAAATCAACATCATTTTCCCCAAACAACAGCCAGACTGACACCCTTTAATCCCCCCTCACATTCCTCCAAAGGTCAGTTACCTCAAAAAGTAACATTCCAAACTAGATAGCTGTATATCTGTGCAAGTTGAAAAGCGATTTTCGAACAGCCGCTGTAACAATGTACAAACCTAAAAATAGAAACAGGCAAAAAATGGCCGCCCGTGACTCTGCTTCCCCTACCCTCCATTGGGAGATAAGCCACTGGACAAGAGTCTTTGCAGAGCTCCCACCCGCACTGGTACAAATATGAAAAAAGTTGGGGAAGGAACGAACGCTGTCAAAAATTCTGGCTCTTTCCCAGCATGTAATGCAGTCGTGATGTTGAAAATCGAGGCAAGGCCATGACGCACTAGAACAAGAAGACTGTAGTTTGGCCTTGGAAACGAATAAGAACAAAAAAGTCACTTCCTTCTAAGCTAGAACAAGGACTAAATTTTACTGTGATTGTTGACTTTCGGTTTTGCAACGGTGATTTCTGTACAAAAACCTGGGGCAAAAAAAAACGTGATTTTTCTTGTTTTTATATGAGGTTGAAAAGGGTCATTTTTGTGATTGTCCAAATTCAGTTATTGGATATCCCAATTTGAAGGACATTCTACTCAGTGCTCACAATTGACAGTTAAGGCAATGTTTTAAAGCAGTGTAGTCTTGTACGGCAGGTTTTCGCCGGCACGGCCGCCGATAGGTTACTCTTTTACTGTTCATTCAACACTCGACATGTCGCATTGAAAACTTGGTGCTTGTCAAAAGTAAGAACTGGCTGGCCGTACGGGGAGTGATTTTGGAAATTAAATTAAAATAGGCTTTTTTCGAAAGTTCTCGCTAAAAGCTCAACACCCTGCCTGCACGCAACAAAGGAGCAGATTGATCTGATTGAACGTTAACAGTCTCGATATTGTGGAATTCTCTTTATGCTTTTATCGTCCTGAAAATTAAACGATTGCAATTTGTCTTGCAAAATTGCGGAAAAACTGCAGAATCATAGGGGACCGGTCATTATTTATGGCCCGGGGGGGCGGAGGATTTTAGGAGGGATCACTTGATTTCTGGGAGAACAAAAGGGGGGATCAGTCGTACTTGAGAACCCAAAAGGGGAGATCACTGAAAACTTTGGAAGGATTAAGAGGGGGGGGGGAGTTTGCTTGGAAAATGAACGAATGGGGAGTGGGGGGGATCGCGAAAGTCATCAAAAGTTATTAGGGGTGATGACTTAAGTGACGTATCATTCAAAGGAGGGATCGGCTAAGTCTCATGACCGGTCCCTAAGTTTGAATAGGGCAAAAAATAACAAATTCTGTCTGAGGTCTTACGATAAACAAACAGCGCCGCATAGTATAGCCTCCCCGCAGACGTCCTTTGGGGTCCGTTTGTCAAGTATTCATTTCTCCCCCACGGACGTCTGCTAAACACAGCCGACATTTACGTTCACCAATCACAGGCCGTTTACGGATTTTTGTAAAACGTAACCCGAGCCGCTTCTTAAGATTCACACGATCAGTGAGGCTTTTGATCGAGTGTGCGAGAAATTTGTAATTAATACAGAGTTAAACAAGTATGACAGAGAAGCTATCCTGCAAATTTTATAGCGAAGACCGATGAGTTCATAAATTTGCCGACGGGATTTGGCAAGTCCTTTATCCATCAAGCTTTGCTGCTTGCTTGTTTGCGCCACAGTGCGTGGGACCATTGGACATTATTGTTGTTGTTGTTGTTTCTCCCCTGGTAAATCTTGAAAGATCAATCTACGAAGCTGGAAAATATTGGTATTCCAGCTGTAACGCTCAGTGATATTAGCAAAGAGAATATGAGGGTTGTCGAGAGAGGGACCTTCTCTGTTGTTTACGGAAGCCCAGAAGCTTGGTTGAAGATCGATCGGTGAAGGAAATGTTAGCGAGTGACTTGTACAGTTGGTATTTATGTGGTCCTTGGTTGGCGACTTTCCCGAGCATGATGAAATATTTCGTCGAGAAATAAAATACAATGAACAATGAACGGTTCAATGATTTATCGATTATAAGCATTCTTTCTTTCTTTGAAGAAGCGAGATTAAAGTTTGTTGACAGGTAGGTTAATTTGTCGTTCTAGCTTGAAGTTTGGACTTTGGCGGCACCGTGGTCATGTTTACTTAGCTTGTGAATAAATAAAACGGAACGGGAAGAGGTGCCTTTTTGCAGAACAAGTTTTCAGATAAACCTTTTTCTGCCGTTGGAAGCACATTGCTGTAGACTTCGAATTTTTTGTTTTACCGACTCTTGAAAGAATATAACCAAATTTCGCGTACTGGTCCTTGGTCTGCGACCCATGACCTTGGTGGAATTATATTTCGCAAAAAAGGAAACGGCCTTTGTTTTCGAAGAATGCTTTGAATATCTTCCCTATACACGTTTACAAGTTCTCTCTTCTTAATACCTCGAATATATACAGAGTTAACAGGAATTATTGTTTTCGACCGCGCTGAAAACCGCTCCGCGCTTGTGTGGGAAACTGTTAATTGTTGTCTGAAGTCCTTCAAAGAAAAGCAGATTATTTTATAGTCAACTTCCGAAAAAACTATACAGCTCATTGCAGCTTTCTTGGATCGTTTCTGTGTTTTTTCAGAACGTTTGAGTAGTCTCAGGTAGAAGATAGCAGTGCAAATAAATAATTCACTTGAGAATACAAAGACACATCAACGTCCAGAGCACGTTTGATGAGCCTTGCGATGTCGATTGCCCTTTTTCTAAACACACGTACTTGGTCCTTTCCTAAATTACAGCTGCAAAGAAAACAAAAACATTCGCTCCTTATAACTTTCTTCGGAGTCTCATCCATGCATAGGTATATGGAATAAATATTCCTCTAAAAAAGCGAGAGACAATTAGTAGGTGCCGTTTCACTTATATCACAGCGCGTGATTGGTTGATCGTGACACAATAACTAACCGCTTATTGGCTTATTCAAACAATCTAGAACGTAAATGTCGGCTGTGTTTAGCAGACGTCCGTGGGAGAGAAATGAATGCGTGACAAACGAACCCCAAAGGACGTCTGCGGGAAGGCTACGCATAGTACTGTTTACCTCAGATGTGATGTATAAAAAGTATACACGGCTGGTTTGCATGCCACCAGATGTATAGGCAAGAATTTGTAAAGTAAACTTGTCGAACACAAGAATTCTGGCCTGATTTTTCATTTTGGCCTCCCTTTTAGACAAAGGGAATTAACTGGTAAATTAAAACGTGTAAATTGACTGTCATCGAGGACTATTGTGCCTTCGAGACGTCATCCCTTAATGAAATGGAATTGAGCAAGGGTAGGTAGAAGCCTGAGCACGAGAAATTGACACCTATATGGATGCTTCTGAATAAGCCAGATTTAAAGAAAGACAAAACTGTACTTCTTGTAATATCATCTCAGTTACACCGTGATCGACCTGCTTTGTCACATATTCATGTTTGTGATGACAGACTGCTGGCTTCACCAACAGGAGGTAAGGTTGGAGTTCTCCTGAACAAATCTTTGAGTATGCCGGGTTCCTCACGGGTGACAGCAATGAGCACTGATCCACTCCGTAAAAATAGGCTCATTCGTAAACATCTTATCTTTGATGCAGCCCAGCTTCTTGTTCAAGCTCTTGTTACATCAAAGCTTGACTAATGGTTTACCTAAGAACGTGATTAAACAGCTCCAACGTATGCAGAACGCAGCTGCTCGGACTGCTACTCTTTCGCCCAATTTCTGTCATATTACGCCGTTCTTACGAATCTTCACTGGCTCCCGATTAATCTCCGGATTGAATTTAAAATACCTATCGTTAACTACAAGACTCTCCATGGACTGGCTCCTGCTTATATTAAAGATCTTCTTCAAAGTTCTGGCTAGGTCGCGAAGCCGTGCGGACGCATCTTTCAGTGCTCCGCCTTAGTTCTTGACTAACTGCTTCAAATACACTATTCAGCCATGGCTAATGTGACAGTACGATTTTTAAAAAAGGAAAATGACAGCCTCAAGGATGAAATCACCGCCCTTAAGCAAAATTTGGAAGAGCTACAGCAGTCCATCAAACGACAAGATCCACAAGTCACCAGTAATGGGGGCGAACAACCTACTCGCTTGATTACGGACGCTGATTCCCTAAGCACCTTGGAATTTTATGGAAAATTATACGATGATCTACGATACGAGCAGAATCTGTGAATAGTCTTAAACAGCTCTGGTCACGCCTAAATTTGCTGTCATCCCGAGTCGGAAAGATCGGAGATTGAATTGAACAACTGCAAAGGTATAGTTTCCAGTACAATACTAAGATTATTGGCCTTCCAGAAAGAGAGACGCACGAATCGGCGTCCCAAACTGCCTCCCTGTTTATCAATCTTTTCAAAGCCTCTGAAATTGAAATTTCAAATCAAGACATCGATATCGCCCATCGTATCCCTACCAGAATTGCCACTTCTGGCCCTTGACCAATTGTCTGCAAATTCACAAGAATTATTGTGAAAGAGTAAGTAGTGAATGCACGAAATGAAGCTAGTAAAGTGTCGGCCAATTCGATTGGACTACCGTCCAGTTGTTTCTTGGAAAACGTCAGGCTATTTGATCACCTTACTCCCTTGCTTCAGCAACTCTTGGCGGATTCAAAGAAATTTCAAACGAGAAATGGCTTCAAGTTCTGCTGGGCAAAGAACTTTATTATTTATCTTCGACAAACCGAAGTTTCTCGCCCGATCCAAATCAAGTGCCACAACGACCTTGTGAACATTGTAAAGCAAGAGGGTTTACCCATGAGTTAAGTACCTTTCACAAATTCCTGAGCAACTGACACTTTATTTTTAGTTGAACTTAGCCGTCACCATGATGGCTGACGAGTCGCATTTGGAATTTCTCTTTCCATTTAATCATTTAGATAATAGTTCCTTTAACCTAGCACTCTATGAGTTATCCCATGGCCCTTTCAATTTCAATAGCAACGGTCTTGAAACACTCTTATTTAATCCTATAGAGCAACCTGAGTTATCCAACTCACTTTCCACTCATCTGAACCCTGATTCTAATTTTATTGCTTCTCTGCCCTCGAGTAGTTACTTGGCCGAGGATGATATAAATAGTCGAGTAGCTCCCCCTAGCGGCAAAATAAATTTTTCCATTATACACTTAAATGCTCGTAGCTTGTTAAAAAATCTTGACCAATTGAATTTAATGCTTGGAAGTCTCAAAAACCATTCTCTTTGATAGGTATTTCAGAAACGTGGCTGACTGATTGCACTTCAGAGCTGGTTAATATCACTGGATACAATTTTGTCTCAAACCATCGCAAATCCAAAACAGGTGGCGGAGTGGGCATTTATTTACAAAACGACCTTCAATACAAACTTCCTAATGAATGCAAATTGTCAGATCGAGAGACAGTTGAGTCTTTATTCGTGGAGATTACAGTTCCCAATGGGAAAAACATTATTTTTGGATCTGTGTATAGACCGCCAAATCAAAACACGGCCTTGTTTCTAGACAAATTTAACGACATTCTTTCTCGTATTTCTAAGGACAACAAACAATGTTATGTTATGGGAGACTTTAACCTCGACCTTCTCCAGTACAACCATCATACACCAACTCAAGAATTTATCGACACTCTATTTTCGCACGCATTTATTCCTCTCATCTCCAATCCAACGAGCCTCACCTCTTATTCTGCAACCCTAATCGATAATATATTCACAAATAATCTTTCTCAAAATGTCTTAAATGGTATTGTTCTAAACAATTTATCCGATCACTTACCGGTTTTTGCTCATTTTTCTGCCAAAACTCTGACGCGCGATGGAGAAAATAAAGTATTCATACGCAAGATTACTGACGAAAATTTACGTAAATTCAACGAAAACGTTTCAAACACAAACTGTGCCTCATTTCTTGATGAAGATCCCAAAATGGCTTACAATAATTTTATAGATGAATAGTCGAGAGTCTACAATGCCTGCTTCCCTTTAAAGGTCATTAAATTAAATGCAAGCTACTGAACAACTGCAGCTCTCCTTGGATCACCCCCGGACTTTTGAAATCTATTAACAAGAAAAACAGATTATACAGATCATCAGATCTCCCTCATTATCCAATGAGCGAAAGTAAAACACCTACAAAAAGAAACTGAACCACTTAATTCGCATCGCAAAACGTAAATACTATGATACTAAGTTTGAGAGTGCCAAAAATGACCTTAGAACAACTTGGAAATTGCTTAATGAGGTTATAAATAAGCGTAAAAGTAAATCACCTTTGCCTTCATCATTTGCATCAGAGGGTAAAACGATAACAGATCCCGTGGAAATTGCTGACAAATTGTGTGAATACTTTACTAATTTTGGCCCCAACCTAGCTAGAGCAATACGCGACGTAAATTCCTCATTTAGTTTTTTTCTTGGTGACGTTACCCATCCTCCTATCACCCTGCAACCTGCCGACCCCTGTGAACTGGAAAGCATTTGTAGCATGTTCGCCTATTTCAATGCGTGTAAGTAAACACTCATTTCACCTGTTTTCTGCCATCATAAATCTGTCTTTGTAATCAACCATTCCTACCTCATTTTGAATTTCTTTTTTAATATCATTATGACGTCACGTTTCACGTGACTACATCACTTCAACCCTAATTAATTCAATGCCTCGAAAGAAAGTTTCTCGAAAGTTTTTTTGCAACTTTTAGAATTAAAATGCATGGTCCTAGAAGAAAAGCAGCTTTATCTTCGCGGGGGGTCGAGCGCAAAAATTGACCCATGCCTTAAAATGCTTGAGTATACTGCTGCCAGTAAAAACTATTCAACGCCCCATGCTCTAATCCATCTGATAAATAGAATCTCTTCGGCAATTGACCAGCGTGAAACTACTATAGGTTTTTTCCTAGATCTCTCCAAAGCTTTTGACACTCTTCATCATCAAATCTTATTCACCAAGCTGGAGCACTATGGTATCCGTGATGTGGCTCTGCAGTGGATAAAAAGCTACTTTTCTTGCCGTCAGCAATTCGCCCAAATTAACCAAACTTGTTCCTCAATGCAGACCATTAAGTGTGGAGTTCTTCAAGGATCCATCTTAGACCCCTTATTCTTCATACTTTACATAGATGATCTTCCTTAAGCCTCCAAGTTTTGCTGACGACACGAGTATCTTTTTTTAAGACTCTAATCCCAACTACTTAGAGAATATGCATAATAATGAGTTACTAAATATTATGTTTGGTTAAGGTGCAATAAGCTCTCAGTTAATATCAAAAAGGCAAATTATGTTACCTTTAGTCCGAGTCAGAGGAAACTCTAACACAGTTTTTCTCTCTCTTTTGGAGGTCAACCTCTAATTCACAGCAATGTAACTAAATTTCACAGGCTCTACCTAGACGAACATCTTACTGTGAAGTATCACATAAATTTTGTCTGTAAACAAATCGCTAAATCAATCGGTATTTTATCCAGGACGCGTTTCTACTTATCTCTTAAGACCAGACTCACACTGTACTACACATTAATTTATCCTTATATTACTTATTGTAACTCCACGTGGTCTTCTACTTACGTATCTAAATTAAACAGAATTTACGATCTACAAAAGCGGGTAATGCGAACTATTAGAAATTCAGAATATCGAGCACATACTGCTCCTCCATTATCCAAATTGTAAATTCTAGATATTTTCGAAGTTAATACGCTCGATACTGCTAAATGTATGTTTCGCTACCACAATAATCTGCTGCCTCCACTCTTCCGCAATCTGTTTATGACAAACAGTCAAGTCTATAGATATGACGCAAGAACAGCTATTAATTATCGAGTGCATTCCTGTCGTACGAACATCGAGAAATTCACAATTCTTTACCAAGGACCTTGAATCTGGAACTGTCTTCCTGCATCTGTTACAAACTTGTCAAGCTTTTCTGTCTTTAAGAACAAAGTGCCAGAGTTTTTATTAACATAGTTACTAAATTAGTTTAGCCGCACTTTTTCGCAGCCCTTGTTTCTTATAGTTTTGTGATGTCGAGGTGGTCTCTCTTTAAAAGCCTGGTGGTTTCTTGAGGTCTCCTCGCCTAACAACCTGCAGTATCCTGTAAAATTTGCTGTAAAAAAAGGCTAATAAAAATGATGATGATGATGATGATGAAAGTTACCTCCCGACATGGGATGTTAAGTCTTCAAAGAAACATGTACTTGCCGTGCACTGCTTTTAACATAAACAGTCATGGCCATCGTGCTTTTTCTGTTGCTGCGCCGCTTCTTTGGAACAGTCTTCCTCAGCATATTAGGGATGCTGGATCACTGGACAAAAACAAAACTGTTCTTTTTAGACCAGCCTTTTTGAATTGATGACGTGATTGTGGTGTTTTATATCTTAAGTTATTTCATCATTATTTTTTTTAGTTTTTAATTGCGGTTTTTAAATTTTAACAGTCCATGGGCTACCTAGTGAAACCCCCCCCCCCCCCCGGGAAATTTTGCAGACATATGCCATTTGAAACAAGAGAGGATAAAGGGGACAGAGAAGGAATCCCCCATACACACCCTATTCCATAGGTAATTCCTCTCGACTTATTTTTAACACCACAGATCTCAAGGGGATTACACAACAGCCAATCACATAACGCGAATGTGTTCCGCGTGGATGACCACGCGTCCTTCACGAATTGACGCATAACAAAATGGCGGAAGACGCGGAGAGCGTTATTGCTATTCGTTTTGTCGACGAAAACGACTACAGAGAGATTTCTGCTAAAGATGTGTCAGCGAAACGGAAATTAAAAAAGAATCTCCCTTCCTCTCTTGTATAGAGCTAACAGTGCATCAGGGAAATCCTTAACACACTGAATATTCTCTCAGGATCATTTATAATATACAGTTTGAAGAGAGCAATTTCTCGTTTGATATTTATTCTTTTATTAGTCTTTTATTATTCAACAACAATAACACTTGGCGTCCTACCTGCTTTATTGTACAAACGACCGGTTTCAATAGACCGGCGAAATTTCTCATTTTATTAAAGCACTGAGGTTACGACAACTTCGACTCTTTGACAACCCGTGAAATCAGTTTAACTCCAGCGATTCCCTTTTCCCAGGTGAGCGCCGACTAATTTCGCTTCAATATTCAGGAATGCTCTCGATCTCTTTGCGCTTTCTTTGCCTTTCGGTCGTCATGTTTTGCACGACGTTTAGTCAT